ATGGTGTGAAAGACATTCACATACAGTAGGCATATTTTATTAGCCCTCCAATTATCCTGAACGTATGAGTGCAACACATCAACAGTAAATGGCCTGATTTAAAGCTTTCGTGACTGCAGGGATTCATATTCTTGGTTCTTTTGATAAAGTCACGTAGAAGGGAAACAATAAATTTATAACAATGTAAAACAATAAAATTCTCACGTTTCGACTGCAACACAAGCAATCATCATCAGGTGTGAAAACCACAGCAAGAATTGTTTTTCTTGCTGTGGTTTATTATTTTATTGTTTCCCTTCTACGTGACTTTACCGAAAGAACGAAGAATATATAGTGAATGTCCTGCTTATAATTTTGAACATGCATTCAGGTCAAGCGAATCACAAAGTAGTACTTCACTATACAGTATAGTTTATTATTTCCATGCAGGTGAAGAGTAAATAGAGCATAGACATTGCAAAATATTATTGGATATAACTTCTCCACAAAATCTTAAGAAAAGCAATGAAGTATATTCATTGATATTTAGTATTATATACATAATACTAAACAGGAATCTCAGCTCAGGATTACATCAGTAACACTATAGCTCAGCCAAACGGTAAAATAATAGTTGCTATAGTCACAGTAACAATGTAATAAGTTACACTATATAATTGAACCAAGCATGATAGCTATTAAAAATCAGCAGCATCAAATACTTTTTTTTTATATTGGACGTAGTTTATTTACATCTGTCATTAAAAAAATATATATTTTACATCCTCTTTCCCCCTCTATCTTCTCCCATTTGTTTGCCCTGGTGATGTTTCGTATTGTTGTTCTGTGTTTTGCAAGGCCATTTGAGAAGAAGTTGCAATAGTTAAGAATAAGAGGATGGAAAAGACATAAAAGAAACATCAAATGCGGGACAGTGCAGACACAGAGAAATCGACAAACCATATCCCAAGATACTTGTTTTTTCCTGGACGTACGACCTTGACACATTCTTAAGCTTTTCAAGGAGCCAAATGCCTGCAATGTATTGTGTGTATGTATGTGTAGTGTTTGGGTGGTGATATCATTGCGAGACAAACATACTATGTTCTCATATAAAATAAAATTCCACATAAATGATTGTTCAGATAATCTGATGTATATCCATGATAGAGGTTTTTTTGGGTTAGATCATGTAAATATATAAATGTGTCGTTAAAACCCACCACCACCCGACACAGCCAACTAGTAAGGGTTGTCACGTAAACAGAACATGCCAATTCGTCACTAGTACAGCACACCGGTGTGATGCCAACGGATCTGGGGTATTTTTTTAAAATAAATGTCCTTGGTTTGAAAATGTAAACCTTTTCAGAAGGATGTGGAAGACAAGCATGTCTGGTTAATGAGCATGCACAACGTGGAATGCATGTTATACTTGTCCCACTCATCTCCACTCGACAGTACAGAGAAACACACCATCAGCCTCCTTTAATGGCAATTAGAGCATGCGGTTAATATGCCTTTGCTATTTGTAAAAGAATGTGCCTGTGAACGGGACAATGTTTTTGTACTTCTTTGGTTCTTTCGGTAAAGTCACGTAGAATGAGAATAAAATAATAAATTGATAAAATAAAATAACACAATAATAATAATATTCTCACAATAATAATAATAATATTCTCACTGAGAATAATAATATTCTCACTGAGAATATTATTATTGTGTTATTTTATTTTATCAATTTATTATTTTATTCTCATTCTACGTGACTTTACCGAAAGGACCAAAGAAGATGAATCATTGCAGTCACGAAAGCTTTAAATCGAAATTTAATGTTTTGTAGTAATTAGCTGCAATTTTGATGTAAAAATTAAAAATCCATATTATGCTCACGGCCGGTATTGCTGCTGCAAGTGTTACGTTTCATCAAACATATCAGTGTGAAGATTGAAGTGTATTCGCAATCATCGCATACGTGTGTAAACTGGCAGACAACCGAACAAAGCTGTAAGAGAGTCGCACGAGACAGGAAGAGGAACACGTGGATAAGAGAACCTACACCAGTGGTGTTCTTCACTCATTTTCAGAGGAGGGACACTTTCCCCAATAAGGGCCGCCACACATTTGAAACCCGTTGCGTTTGACAGCACGAGGCCGTGTGCCGCACTAACGGTCACCAGGGTTCTGCCAGTGGCCCGCGGGCCTTTGAATGAAGAATACTGACATAAAATGAAGTGATATATAAAAAAAGTTTAGAAAAGTGGGCTTGGGTAGGACATCTCTAGAAGGGTTTAAGTTGTATAAAACTCAAAAGTTGTATAAAACTCAAAACAATCTTCATTGTTTCCTCCTTTGGTTACCAAGATGGAGCGATGATATTCATCCAGCAGTGGATAGATCATGGCTGATGACGTTGATAGATATATTAGGGTTGACAGCAGTATTGTAAAGAATGTTTGTAAAGCCAATTATTTAATATCAAACATCCCCATTTAATACAGGAGTCATTACAAAACAAATTTATATTGCATACCGTGAAAAAAATAACACATTTATTTGAAATGTCCTGAGAATCCATGTTTTTATTATATAGATATTCTCACGAGTATGATGCTATTTTGTTTCGTTTTTACGAAATTCATCACCACAAGCATTGCAAACTGCCTTTCCTGTTTATGCTGCGGGTAACAAAGACAAATACTCATGGGTCTGTGAGAGGAACAAAAGCAGAACATTCCACTACAGCAAGCGATAAGTGATAAATAGATTTTAATGAAGAAAGCAAAAAAATATACGGCACGAAAAGAGTCAGAAAACGAGATACGCTATCCCCAAAGCTATACAAAGCAATGTTAGTTTTTTTCTATAAATTGGGGTGGAAAATAAATGTATATATTGAGAACCGATTAACAATCACGGATTTACTGACGACAAAATCTTTTATCACACAGTTACGTTCAAGATGATTGAGCAAAAGAAAAAATAATGTACACTTGTTCCAAAGATTATGCTAATTGTGTTCTTGTATGATCATTGTGTAGAGCATTCTATGATCCGTGGATGTCAAGGGTGCTTTCTAAGTCGAAATTATTAAGATAAATAATTGTTGGAGGAGCACAATTGTAAAACACAACATGTATACCCAGGGCAATTCTTTAAGGTGAATCCAAATCAAAATCATGAAATACTGTAGAGAGCTGAATGAAAAAACTGGAATTTATATAAAAAATATATACACCAGTGTGCCTGAATAAGAAAGTTTTACCTGCTATGCCATTGAAACTGACAAATAAAATATTACAAAAGTGGAAAAGTATGCAATGACCCTAGAGCTGAGCTTACATGTACGCCTGATGATGCTAGATGTGATCTCCAGCAAACCGTCGTTTAAAATTGTCAAACATTTTGTTTGCTTTCCAAAATTATGATTTGCTGAAAACACAATTCAATTAGAATATTTATCTGCGTGGCAACCTGATTTGATTGGCTGTCAGGTGGTGGAGGGTTATACACTACACGATCTAACACCAAATAAACTAATCCGCGTGCCATTAGCTAATATTTCATGTGCAAGTTAGACCATGAATGTGACCAAACAATACACTTTACCTTGCACGAGATGGAGAGGTCATGTAAAGTTGTATACAACTCAAAAGACACATCAAACACATTTTTAACACTTGTAAGTTTTATTATAAAGCCTTAGTGTGCATTACACAGGATCTGTATCATGTCACTGTAATGATGTTTACACACATATACTCAAGTTAGTAAATAAATCGATCCTTAAACAAGATTTTAGTGTTTTCCACAAATGGTACATTCCATGCATGTGCATAACATACAATTATTGTGTGCGGTAAACAGCGGCTGTCATGAACTTTGAAAGGATTTTGTTCTTATGTTTTTGACACGCAGTCATGAGGCACACCGTGACGTAACAGTGACTTATGCGTGTAAGTACACTATCATTAAGGCTTAAAGGCACTCAGTCCAGACAAATCATATCCTACGTTTCAAAATTATGTAAGTCTTTAAAGCGATATACACGATAGCTGTGAAAGCAATAGCAAGGATGATTCACGTACAATGCTTCCAAGAGATATGACCATAAAATAAAATTGTTCATGTTTTGAATCATAGGCATTACAGATTTATAAACAACAGACTGCGATCAAACGTGGGCACGTAATTATTTATTTTACTATATATATACACACACAAACAAGGCATAATACAGCAGTGAATAAAAAAAATGTGAGCATTTACAAAGGAAAGAAAAAGAGTGCCTATAAATGTACATACAATAAACACCCCAAAACACTCATTCAAGCTTTTTTTAAAGTCCCAGTTGGAAGTGTTATACTGAAATAGCAGTTTACAATCGTTGCATAAGTGAACGCATAGCTAAAATAGTTGCTGTGTGTTTTGGGGGTGTGGAGGTGTGGCATAGTGAATGGTGCAGTGAACCCAGTTGGAAGTGTTATACTGAAATAGCAGTTTACAATCGTTGCATAAGTGAACTCATAGCTAAAATAGTTGCTGTGTGTTTTGGGGGTGTGGAGGTGTGGCATAGTGAATGGTGCAGTGAGCCCGGTGAGTTCGATTCTCGACCACGGCTAAAACCAGTGGGCGAGTGATATCTGAACGAGAAAACGCAACACATTCCTCAATAACAATGCAAAAAAATAAAACAATGTGTATAAAAAATGGCTGGCCCTTCAAAGCACAAAAATGAGGATACACCACTGCCCATAACCTCACCAATTATATGTATTTTTTTCTTTTAAGGCAGCGTCATTTACGGGTGTGTTGAGTTTTTGTTGTTGTTGCCAATTCTTCCTGTGCACCACTGCCAACGCGGGAGAATCACCAAATAATTAGTTTTATATCTGAATGAGGGTTATAATAATAGGGGTTTTCCCCTTTTTTCTGGCAACAAAACTGAAACCTATTTTTACAAGGATTCATGTCTGCAATAACCACAATACTTGCAGTCAAAATGCAAACAAAAACACACTATGATAATATATGTATTGTCCTTGAAACTGATTGGTCCAACCCAGAGACGGCTTTCTTTAGAGCCTCGTCTCAATTGGTGCGAGACCAGATGACGCCAAAAGGCGTACAGCTCATAGACAATGCACTATGAAAGTAATGAGGGTTCGGGGTTAAGCATCTACATCATTAGACCTCCTTTGCCAGTACCAAAATAGAATAACAGGGTTTTTCCCCTTTTTTCTGGCAACAAAACTGAAACCTTTTTTTACAAGGATTTATGACATGAATCCTTGACATTCATCCTTGTATTATATTTTGGTACTGGCAAAGTATGTCCGATGATGAATGAGGGTTGTTCAACCGTAGGCAAACCGATGACTGTTTACAGAATTAACCACCAGTTCCCGAAAGTCAGGAACCGGTTACCGATTCCAGTGGAAACCTTCGTAGTTAATGCACCGATAGGCATGCGGGAACCTACAAATGGCACGGCGGTTTAAGTCACATTTGCCCGCTCATTTCTCAGTTAAAAGGTGAAGGTAAAACTCCAAAACTGCTTGCTCACTCCACTGCTGGAGGAAGGACCTCCACGAGAGAGTTCTAGAGATTGCGTCTAGAGAGTATATTGGCCTACACTTCCACGCTGACCAGACGTCTTGGAAGAGGTTGGAGTGCCCACATTTTACCCCACCACACGTGACCTTCCGATATATAGTGGTGTACCAAGGCGGACAGAGGAGAGGGGATAGTGGATTTAAGAAACTTGTCCAATTTGCACAACTGCTGCTTCAGCAGATGGAATTGAACCGGCCACCTCTGCATTTCAAAGCCAGTGTTCTAACAATGACACCACAGCACATCCGATTAGCAAGGTTAGCTATGTACGGCGCGAAAGAAGTTCAAAATAATTCAATGTGGCAGCTGCCTTTGTGTCTCAGTTAAAAAGTTAACAATGTTATGCTTATTGCTAGAGATTTCTGTACATGCGGAAAACCGATAACCATTTTTTGCCAGCTTTTTTCACAGATGCCACAATTTTAAAGCTCCTAATCTGAAGACGTCCTGCTAACATTTCTTCACCAACCCGCAACTGATCACGTGGTGCAGTCTGGTGAACCAACCCCCATGACCGAAAAGGTGTGGTAAGACTTCCATCCAGCAGTTAATTGAAAAAGGGTCGTAGATTCATTGATTATACTTTTGCATTTTTAGTCGACAGAAAAAAAACTTCTGGATTTCATACTTATTAAAAGACAATTGAGTTTTTTTGTGTTCAGTCAACAGACCTTTTGAAGATACTGTATAAAGTACATTTCAATACAAAAAGTAGAGGTTACTTCCACTTGACCATCATGAAGGTGGATGTGGGTCACATGTTTTGGCAGATGACCAGATAACATTTTTTTTCTAAAAATAATTTCTCACTGCTGGTTAAAATATTAGCAGAAGGAAATAGATAAAATCCCTATAAATAAACCACACTGTACAACATTTATAATTTTAAGAAAGTGTTGGTAAAATATAAAAGGAAAAATGTAAATACATTTTCTGCGTTTCCCAAAATTAAGCTATCTTTTTGGGTCACTAAACGCTCAGTATAAATGTTACTTTAACTTAGCAATTTTCTTTGAAAAAGCAGCATCATGATAAAGCAGTACAGCAGGTGCCCAGATGCCATGGTGTGTTAAAACAAAACTGGTATTATTTTCAATTAATTGTAAAATTTTAAATTATTATTTTCTATCTACGTGACTTTACCGAAAGAAACAGGTATATAAACAAATGCTGATGAAAAATTAAGACCCTTTTTAAAATAATTTCATCCATGGTGTAAATATTTGCTGTTTGTTGCCCTGGCAACAGAGGCATATACAGTGCTGTTATACAAAACACACAGGTGAAGGCACGCATTCTATATTGCTTGTAAATGCAATTTGATAATTAAGTGAGAGACTTATATATATGACTCATGCTACGTAAACCCAAATAGAATGTTGCTATGCAAGTGTCATGTACCTTGGGACAGAGAGGGAGGCGTTAACAATTCCAAAGGCAAAACGTGCGCCCATTAACGAACTTCTTCTAATGTACATTTAATTTCCACTGTGGGCCAATTATAATAACCGATCAAGTAAAAGCTAGCCTTAGGCTTCAATTTAAAGTATACATACGAATAGAGTGCATTTATGTTTGAATACCATTAAAGTTCGCATGCCACCTCGGGGGTACGTGGGTGCGACTGGATGTATTGCAATCACGTGACTTCATGTGGCCTCAAAGTGCACTTGGCCTGGCACAGGCGACGTGGTGACATCACCGTCACTTAGTGGCGAATGGCGGGTGCTGTTGTTATTGCAAACAGCGTGGAGGGGAAGAGTGCCAAGGGATGGGAGTGGTGTTGTCCAGGCAATAACCCAAGCAAGTGACTTTTCCGAAGTCCTACAGATGGATCGTATATTATCCGAGTTGCATCATTTCTGCCACCCACATGTGATCGCCAATTTATCCTCTGTTCAGGACAAAGTCAGACATGTGGTGGCCGTCCATGAGATGCCGTTCAAGCACAATCGACTGAGCTCAAATTGCAATCACCGTAGTAATTCGATGTCAACTGTATGACAAATTTGAAGGTTTTGTTGCATTTAATGACGAGGTATCTAAGTTATTGCCAATACATGAAAGTGCCTACATACTAAGCCAAAACCAAGTAAAGATGTTTAATATCTTTCTTCAGAGAAAAAAGAGATGCGTATTTGCATGAACAACAAAAAAATTACATAACTATTAAATTATTCATTTAACCGACATTCAAAAACGAGGCATGAAAGAATTCAGACATTCACGAATCCGTGGCCGCGTGAGCCGTTCATGTCTAGCGAGCCCCGTTGAGGCTCGGCTGGGCCCCGGCTTCGTCGCACGCGTCCATGTGGACGGCGCGAGTCTCCCTGGGCAGTCGATCCAGCGCCATTGTCAAACCGTCCTCGTCCCCGCTCGCACAGTCCGAGTCCACCTGCAAAACAGAAATGTCAAACGCCGAAAACAGAAAGAAAATCAACATTTTTTTTTATTTCAACTCAATGCGAGCTCGGTACATAGGACCGGTCACAGAACAAGAAGGGGGGAGGGCAGAGGTCACACAAGCAAAAGCCTGAGATTGGTGAGGGAGGGCTTGGTGAAGAGGGGTAGATTGGGCTCAATGGCCCACCCAGGTGGGGAACCTATAGCAGAGAAATTGAAGTTTATATGGAGTGGGGGGGGGAACTAAGTTTGTAATTCAGAAACAATAAATCAATTGGATATGACAAAAGGAACTTTATGCAACATAATTAGAAAGTCCACGTTCATTTTAAAAAGTATGGGGCACGGCAGGAACATGCAAAACGGTGATAACATGGGAAAGCCTTCATTCAGCAGTGAATAGACCATAGCTGATGATGAATTGAATTGTGAATTGCTTATGGTTTGGGACAATGAACGTTACATGAATGAGTTTTGAAGAGTTTTCTTTTAACAAAAAAATATGCTTCAGAATTGAAAAACGTGAATGTGTTCAAAAGTATTTCAACGTGATATTTGTATATTTGGGAGAGTGGTAGCACAGTGGTTAGAGCACTGTGCTGTTAACCGAGCCATCTGAGTTCAATTCATGGTCACAACTAACATCAGTGGTGATTTATTTCCAAACCGTTCCTGGGCCCCCTTGCCCTTAATCAACCCACGCTGACCAATGTGGTGAAGTATGGTCAAGCAACTCCTCTGACTGATACGGTGCGTGAGCAGGCCTCCATCCAGAAGTGGTTTGACAAAGGGTGTTTGTATTATTAGTAGTAATCGTGTTTTAATGATACATTTACTCTGTGTACTAAATTTGAACTCCTCTTCTACCGGGAATCAGAATCTTTATTTAGACTGGAGGAATCATATGAGCTATGAAGCTCAGTATGGGCGGGTCAGCAAGTTACAACAGCAAACAATAAAACAAAAACGAAAGAGAAAAAGGTAAGCAATTCACAAAATTTAAACGAATAATTAAATAAACACACGCATATATATTTTATATATAACTCCAATTTATGAAGCTTGGGCAAGGGAGCAAAAACAACAACAAAAAAGTGCCAGACCACACCAAGATAACACCACGCAGTAGTCACTCAATACAATGGCACATTAACATTAAACTATCGATACAAGGTAAGAATCAAAGTCAAAAATCACATTGGCAAATGTGATTGTAGCCAACACTTATCTTCTGCTGTAGGATGTTTTTTGAAGGAAGATTTACGATATTAAGGGAGGAAACAAAGTTATTCCAAAACGTTAGTGCTGCAACGGCAAAGGCTTTATCACATATTTCATTTCAAGTTATAGAGATATTTAATAATGCATTAGCTCAGTGTAGTGCAGATTTGCCAATAAGGATTTTATGGATGAACAGGGCCCAATGTAGATTTCTTCTTGCATCAAGTGATGTGAGATTTGATTTAAGTCCAGGTCATTAGTAGCTGATCTGTCATTGGTAGCTGATCTGTCATTAGTAGCTGATCTGTAAGCAGTGTCACAGTAGTCAAAAATTGGTAGAATTAAAGCTTCAACGATTTACAAGCGCAAATCTAATGGGAATACAATGTTTGTTTATATATAAAAATCCTACTTTTGATTAGATTTTATTTGAGACGTGATTAATATGGGGTTGGAATGTAAGTTTTTAATCAATCAGTAAACCCAAGTATTTGAAGCACTCCGTTTGTTCAATGATGTTGTTTCTCATATCCGCAATAGGCGAAGGGAATGAAACTTTATTTTTGTTTCAAGAAAAGAGCATGATCTTCGTTTTTCGGAAATTTAGGAGCAATTTTAGTGATGACAATTGATATTGAATAAAGTCGAAATCATATTGGAGATTGTTTGACTTCGTTTGGAAATTTACCCGATACAATCATAACACTGTCACCAGCAAAGAGATTTCATTTTGGGCGATTGAAGTTTAGTTTAGCATGGAACCTTGTGAAACACCATTTGTTATTTTAATATTTGTGGACAAGATGTCATCACTATGTACCTATTGAGAACGGTCTGCAAGGTAACTTCTTAAACCATTTTATTGTACCATCTGAAAATGTTTGTGGAATGATGGCGACGACGCATGTACATGGGGCTGTCACACATTCTGCTTGCACTGATCTAGGGTGTGTATGTGGTGTGTGTGTGTGCTCACCATGTGGGTAGTGCAGGAAGCATGGTTCTGCTCAGTCCCAGCTTTGGGCATGTGTGCACGTGAGAGCTGGTTGCACAACCGCACCACTCGCAATGAGAGCTGGGAGGGAAAAAAAAGGGGAAACTGCATTTTCAATACGTTCATTGCTATTTCAAACTGGATAGTCGGTGAAATGTTATATGTTGCTACAGGGAACACCATGTAAATTGTTGTGCAATGCTTGACTCATTAAATATCACAAAGATTATGTCCCATTACAGAAGACAGCACAGTTTCCGTGGACATTGAACTCATTCGGTTAACTATGAGTGGTGCAAATTTGTTGATAAAAAGCATTGGTTATCCCTACTTGTAAATTAGCAAAGAAGGAACATAGGGCCTGGAGCTACTTACCTAGAAAATCTATACATCCAATAAACGGTTACTTGTTGTATTACAATGTTTAATGCGAGCTACACTTACCGCTTTTTAATTTGTAAAAAAAACGGAACGCTCCTTTATCATTCCGTCTTTAACCAAGACAGCCTTTCTATGACTAAAGTTATATTAACACTGATCATTCTGAAGATTTGATTCACATTACAATGAGTGTTTATACTTGACATGCGATATAAATATTGAAAATTATCAGCGTTATCCACAAATATTTTCCCCCCAACAACAATAATGTGCTCCCTCATTATGAACAATCTACATAAAATTCATTTTACATTTAAAATATGTGGACTGACACGAATAAAACATTTTCACAAGGTGACTTTCTTGCATGAAAGTAGTTCCTAATTATAATAAACAGGAATGGCTTCATCATCACATCCTCAGAGTCAAGTCAATGCATCTCAAGCATTGTGACGGTGCTCATATCCATTGGAGATCCTTTGTCAGTTGTGGAAATTCCACATGATGATGGCAATAGGTTGCTATCCTGTATCTACAAGAGTATAAACATCAACCCACACACTATATTTAAACAATAGCCTGCTACTCCGATTAATTAGCACGGTTGTCTACGTACGGTGCGAAAGAAGTTCAATCTGCATACATACTACATACATGCAACAGTTTACAAGGCAATAATGTGAAATAAAGAACAGCTTTTGTCATCATACGGAGCTTTAAGAAGATGATGAATAGCATACCCTCCACTTCCTGCGTGCATTGAAGCTCTTGAGATTCTCCAGGTTAATGAAGGACAATTTTCTGTGCAGCAGTTGATGTTTGTCCTTTGGCTGGAAAATGAAATCAGAATGAGGTCGGAATTATGAAACAGGTCAAATGGACACGAAGCAGCAACAATCCACGTTTTTTTAATACATTGCACGTTGCAGAATTCCAATGATTGACTTTTAAATCATACAGGATAAATATTTGAGACTCAACACTCGGTACCAGGGAGGGATTTTTGTTGTTATGTTTTGGTGTTTCTTGGGACAAATAATTTGGACTGTTAAAATAAGTCCAAGTGAAATATATTGTATTTAAAGCACATTCACAGTTATAACTGAACTTTGTGTATCTTCATGTCTTTAATGCAATCTACATTGAGAGTTTCAACTATGTTTTTCATGTTGATGATCATCATGAATTTAAGCGAGGTTGCCTTAAAGTGTCTATGCAGTACCTTCCCAAATGACACGTTGATTTCAATTGGCTACATACAAAGGTCAAATAATTCAAAATATATTCTTGGTTCTTTCGGTAAAGTCACATAGAAGGAAAAGAATAAAATAATACAAATATATTTGTATTATTTTATAATTTTATTGTTTCCCTTCTACGTGACTTTACTGAAAGAACCAAGAATATATTATTTTCACTGAAAGTTACTGTTGAAATAATCTTAACTTCGTGTATACTTTTTCCAAATGATTTATTAATGCAATTTTGGTGTTTAAAAACGTGTATTAAAGTTACATACAGTGAGGGAAAAAAAGTATTTGATCCCCTGCTGATTTTGTACGTTTGCCCACTGACAAAGAAATGATCAGTCTATAATTTTAATGGTAGGTTTATTTGAACAGTGAGAGACAAAATAACAACAATAAAATCCAGAAAAACGCATGTCAAGAATGTTATAAATTGATTTGCATTTTAATGCAAAACATGACTTAGTACTTGGTGGCAAAACCCTTGTTGGCAATCATAGAGGTCAGACGTTTCTTGTAGTTGGCCACCAGGTTTGCACACATCTCAGGAGGGATTTTGTCCCACTTCTCTTTGCAGATCTTCTCCAAGTCATTAAGGTTTCGAGGCTGACGTTTGGCAACTCGAACCTTCAGCTCCCTCCACAGTTTTGCTATGGGATTAAGGTCTGGAGACTGGCTAGGCCACTCCAGGTCCTTAATGTGCTTCTTCTTGAGCCACTTCTTTGTTGCCTTGGCCGTGTGTTTTGGGTCATTGTCATGCTGGAATACCCATCTACGACCCATTTTCAATGCCCTGGCTGAGGGAAGGAGTTTCTCACCCAAGATTTGACGGTACATGGCCCCGTCCATCGTCCCTTTTATGCGGTGAAGTTGTCCTGTCCCCTTAGCAGAAAAACACCCCCAACGCATAATGTTTCCACCTCCATGTTTGACGGTGGGGACGGTGTTCTTGGGGTCATAGGCAGCATTCCTCCTCCAAACACGGCGAGTTGAGTTGATGCCAAAGAGCTCAATTTTGGTCTCATCTGACCACAACACTTTCACCCAGTTGTACTCGGAATCATTCAGATGTTCATTGGCAAACTTCAGACGGGCATGTATATGTGCTTTCTTGAGCAGGGGGACCTTGCGGGCGCTGCAGGATTTCAGTCCTTCACGGTGTAGTGTGTTACCAATTGTTTTATTGGTGACTATGGTCCCAGCTGCCTTGAGATCATTGACAAGATCCTCCCGTGTAGTTCTGGGCTGATTCCTCACCGTTCACATGATCATTGCAACTCCACGAGGTGAGATCTTGCATGGAGCCCCAGGCCGAGGGAGATTAACAGTTCTTTTGTGTGTCTTCCATTTGCGAATAATCGCACCAACTGTTGTCACCTTCTCACCAAGCTGCTTGACAATGGTCTTGTAGCCCATTCCAGCCTTGTGTAGGTCTACAATCTTGTCCCTGACATCCTTGGTGAGCTCTTTGGTCTTGGCCATGGTGGAGAGTTTGGAATCTGATTGATTGCTTCTGTGGACAGGTGTCTTTTATACAGGTAACAAGCTGAGATTAGGAGCACTCCCTTTAACAGTGTGCTCCTAACCTCAGCTCGTTACCTGTGTAGTGATTGTAGAATCACTACTGTGTACACACGCACAAGCGTGACGTCACTATGCGGGGGAGCGTCATGACCACGCGGGTCTACACACACGCATGACGTCATCCCGGCTGGAGGCGGGAATGACGTCAGGGCCGGTTCTGGGCTCCGGGAGGCCACGAGGGTGGTGTGAGGCCGTGGCACTCTCTGTGACCCCGGCTGGACACGTGACTGGGGGCCTAGGGGGCACCTCGGAGGGCACGTGGACAGCAGGGGGGCTTCGAGAGGGTTCTCGAAGGGAGGCGTGGCCGGGGTGGGGCCCGGGCACACCGAGGCCCATATAAGCAGCCTCCTCACGAGGTTCGAGGCTGCCCGTATCAAGAACGAAGATGCATCGTGAAGACGCCAAGAAGAGTCAAGCCTCCAGTCAGCGGACCTGGCAGTAGCCACCTGGCTGGGTCACGCTAGAGTATTTGATAAGTATGTGTTAGCTAGAGTAGGTTGGTGGTCACCACCTTATGTGCAGTGTTATATTACTTACCGTTCTAATAAATCAGCGTTGCCTCCCAAGGAGTCGTGTGTGCACCTAATTCGAACCCACTACACCTGTATAAAAGCCACCTGGGAGCCAGAAATCTGATTGAGAGTGGGTCAAATACTTATTTCCCTCATTAACATGCAAATCAATTTATAACATTTTTTACATGCGTTTTTCTGGATTGTGTTGTTATTCTGTCTCTCACTGTTCAAATAAACCTACCATTAAAATTATAGACGGATCATTTCTTTGTCAGTGGGCAAACGTACAAAATCAGCAGGGGATCAAATACTTTTTTCCCTCACTGTATTCTCAAATATCATCTTTTAATTTACATTTCATCAAAGATGAAGAATACATAAGGAGGTATGCAAAAATATTAAAATGACAGACTAGGTAAGCAAGAGGAAGTTTTTAGTAAAGAGAAATTAAACGTGTATACTCTATTCGAGATGACTGTATTTAAGTTTGCCTTCACATATGTGCTGCATATAGAGTGGTGACAGTTTGTAGCACCACGAGCCTCGTGAGTTGAATTAGACTCCCGGTCATGGCTAACATCAGTGACGAGTGACATCTAGGTTTGTCCAAGGCCCCCCTTTTATACATCCATATTGAATAGCATGGCGGATGTATTGACAAATAAATATCCCCCATGACCAATACAGTTTTGGGAGGCCCTAGTCCAGCCAGAGAATGATAAAGAGCTGACAGTTATTTACACGAAGTATGTTAGCCCTGGGTGATAAAAAATAAAATGTGTGGACGTTGATGTCTGCAGTCAAGGTCTATACTCAAGAGAGTGTAAATGTGAGGCAGCAGTGCTAATCCAATATATATGTTGCATTGTTTGGGTAACTTTATAGGAATGTAATGAGTCACTCGGCCCTATCCTGGCCCTCCAACCCCTCTCCTGAAGCGTCATTCAGTGAATTGTCACAATTCAGGATCAAAGTTCAGTAATCTTACATTTTTTCAAATCTTGTTCTTGTTTGTAGGTGTGATGCAATCCACCAATTCAAGATTTTAAACTGAATTATACACTCATGATATATGCCTTTAGTTGTTCTTGTAAGACTTAATTATTTACAATCCTTCCAGAGTTAATGCAAATTATGACAAAACGTTACCTTGAGGCGAATGTAACGAGAGAGCGCGTACAAGTCAAATTACAACATAACACTTACTAACCAGACGGAAAGTCATTGTTAAACCGATCGTGACAATTCAAAGATCAGAAGGTGGGCGAATCATTGCATACCTGCTTATCTCTATCACTCATTATGTGCAGTGTAGGAATCCAAGAATCACCCCGTAATGAAAGCTGCATCCCTGCTCGGTGGAGCAGCCCACATCTCAAACATGAATGACTGAAACAACTAAAATGTGGACTTATGTTTTGGTCAAAACTTGATAGTGAACCAAAACACATAACTGTCCCACTTAAACATTCTATGTCTTCACACTATCCGACATTATTTAAAAGTAGTTGTTGAAAAGCAACAGATGCTCAGGATAATAAATGCTCTATTGACCCACAGGCCATCTGTTACTTGAGCACCCTATCCGCTTGAATGCACACACTCCTGAAACCAGCTGCACAGATATCTGCTCAGTTGGGAGCTGAACTTTGAACCCAGCACAACATTTTGCACAGCCATTCTGCTCTCCAGTTCCTTCAAAGCATTCCACTGCAGTATCCAGCTTTCGCTGGCCACAGCACATCTGTGGTGGCCCTTGCTGGTTCTCCTCTGTCTGCCTGCCTTCCGTGAGCTGCTTCTGATACAGAAAGTCACATCATGAACTTCTTGGAAGCGGTCTCAATGTGGCCAGAAATTATTTCGTTTCTGCCAGGTTTGCTAATACACATGAGTAATACACAGTCAACTTGCTTGGTGTTCGGGGAGAGTATGACTTAGTTTTATACTTGTGAAGGCACGGAATCCATCTCTAGTGTCTGCCCTCTGCCCTGTAATCGCCAGATCATACATTCCTCTGCACATAGCTCTCTAGTACAGAGATGTGCGTGCAACTATATCACACGCTTTTGTCAGGCAGTGTGATGCCTCCATCTTCAGGCAGTATGATGCCTCCATCTTCAGGCAGAAAGTGCCTCCAACGACGGAGGGGAAACTTTGCTAAGGAGTAAGGAACAGCGCTTGCCACGGCTATCCCAAAAGGGCAGCTTTTAAGAGCATTTCTCAATAATATACCGTACTTTTTAACATTAACTCACTATTTTTATATTCTTGGTTCTTTCGGTAAAGTCACGTAGAAGGGAAACAATAAAATAATAAAAATATAAAACAATAAAATTCTCACGACGTTTCGACTGCAACACAAGCAATCATCATCAGGTGTGAAAACCACAGCAAGAAAATTTGAAAAAAGTGGCGGGTTTTTTTTAACGTTAAAAAAGCTTAAAGCTTAAAGGTCGTGATCTAAGCGTGGCTTCTTCCACTCCAGCGCTGTCCTCCAGACAGTCTCGTCCCTTCACCTGATGAAGGCTGCTTGTGTTGTGGCCGAAACGTCGTGATTTTTTGTTATGTTATTTTCACCTACGTGACTTTACCCAATAGAACCAAAGAGTATGGATCCTAGCAGTCACGAAAGCTTTAAATCTAGAATTAAAAACCCGCCACTTTGTTTTATATTGTTATTTTTTTTGAAATAAGCCACGTAACAGATTCCACTGACACACACGAAAAAATATATTTCCAAACATCTTTCGCAAATTACTTTGCATTTCATCTGCAGGACCAACATTAATTTCATTCAAGACATTTTGTTCTCTGACCACGTCACATTTTTGAAGGAACATGCGCTATTGTGCCAGCAGGCAAGATTCGGTCAAGTGTGGACTTGGCAAACCCAGGCAGTAACAAGCACACAATAAACAATTTATGGTTGTGAAACATCTACTGCACTGTCAAGACAAATTACGAGAAAAATGCAGTTTCAATGCTTTCGCACGCAGGTATGAACACAGCTGCAAATCTTCTCCACGGAATGCTTGGGTAAGTTAAGTCTAATCCATTGAGATATACAATATTTCCATGGAATTTACCTAACATTTAGGCTTTTACCTTATATAATAATTTCCATCAGTAAGGCTCATTTCATCCGTATATCCCAATGCACCATGTATGGAAAGCATGAAAAACAAATCCGGGTAAACGACCAGAACTAGAGAATGAAGGACAGTTTAAAGTTGTGTTTTTTTCAAGACAGACTTAAACATTTATAAATATTCTGATTGTCGTATTAGTAAAGGCAAAGCGTTCTAAAGCTTGGGAGCTGCATTGGCAAAAGCCCGATCACCTCAGGAAATAAGCCGTGACCTCTGAGTACTTAGAAGGAGAAGATCCAGAGCTCTCAAGGACCTCGTTGGAGCGTAAACATGGATCAGTTCCTGTAAATATTGCGGGGCTAAACCATTGGGGGCCTTATAGGTCAGCAGCAGGATCTTAGAGTCCACTCGATACATGACTGGTAGCCAATGCAAAGACAAGACAGCAGCTGTGATGTGCTCGCGAAACGATATGCGCGCGAGAGCACTACAAGCTGCATTCTGAATTATGCAGCCGACTGATATTGCTCTGGATAATGAAGTTTGGATTTCACATAAGGCATATGTGGCTTGTTAAATGACATTTATGTTAACACAGCTTCACATTCAAGTGGAAACGTCATAGTTTAGCGGTAAGCAAAGGTTAGTTCTTCATTTATAGACTTTGAGAACAAAGACAGATAATCTTGGAGGCATAGGAAAATTGCAGCATTTCTAAATGCAGGTGCACATACCAGCGAATATGTGGAGCTATGGAAAGCACAGGTTGTGCCCACCTGCTACACGGAATGTTACAGTGACAGATTTGCTGACAGCTCCGGTAGCTTGCAATCACCGTTTTACATCCCCAGCTGGTGTGACTGTTCACGTTCTCTATTCGTACAACAGGGCCTGTTCGATAGCCTACCCTAACCTGCAATCAACTGCCGAACACTGTAATTGCTGAGGTCAGCGCCCAAAATGTGAACTCGAGTGCATTGGGCTTTGATGTTTTATAACGGTGGCCACGGAAAAGTATCATGTTAAAGATATACCAAAGAACCACATTGAAATATAAGGGAATTTTTTTTACATTATGACGGCTTAAATGTATGTATTGACAATGTGAAAGTTATAAATCTAAGAAAACATGAGTAAATATGTTAAAGCTATCTCACTATTCCTGTCTAAATATGAAGAGTCTTCAAGTTCGTCTCTAACATTACCATACATGGGAATATATTTTCGTTAAAGTTTCATGATTTTGTCTGTATACTAATCGTATTTCCCATTTATGGCATTGCTATTGACGGATGTTTTGAGTTTTTGTTGTGTTTGCTTGTGCATATGATTGCGAACCAGCAAATATATGCATTTAAACAAAAAAATGTTTCGTGTTTGTCTGTGATTAGATTTACGCTTAAATAAGTTTGTACGCTTATAGTATATCGCAGTGTAATACAATTGCAACTTTTAATCCGTACATATTCATAATTGAGTAGACATACAACATGCACGATAGCAGCTCATATTTGCAATTGATGTGCCTTGCATAGACTTAAATAATGAAATTATATTCCCCAGAGTAATATTTTCAAAAAAATGGCATTTCAAATGACAAACATCTAATTATGTAATAAGCATTTAGACAATGTTTGGTACATTACTATGAAGTACCGTATTGTGTGATGTACAACTACAACAACCGCGATTGTATCCAGTGTTTTCTTTGTAGATCTATTCTGTCAATTTTAAAATCGTCATACAAAACCCCTGTATAGTTATCATAACATTACACACCGCCCACACCTTCAAAAACTAATGTAAGAATACTCCCTTAAAGAGTTGAAGAAAGGAAAATACACTTCCAACATTGATACTTTTATAAAGGGAAAAACAAACCCTGGGAACATTGAGTAAGGTACATGGAGTCTGTAACATAAGCTTTAACTACACATGGTTGCAGAGTGATGGGATTAGTAATGACAGCATTTTTAGTGGAGGAAGATGTTTAAGAATAAATGACCAAAAAAACGCAAAGCATACGTGGATTAGAGGTAGCCAACACATCTGTTAGCAGCCAAAGCTTTAATGTGTAACAGACTTTTATCTAACAATAAACAGGCTTGATGGAAGGAAATCCACGCATATGAATCAATATGATAAATATGACGAATACCCTAAAAAAATTGTCTTATTTTTATCAATAATTTTCTATTGACTTAATACGAATTTATATTCGTATTAAGTCAATCTATATATGAAAATGTCATGAAGGTAATGAACATTTTAGAGATGGCGGACTTTTCCCAAGTGAACATGCCCAAGAAGAAGATCACCGCTGAGGAGATGGAGAGATGAGTTCAGCTCATATGCAGGACCTCGATGTATAGTGGCATGAGGGTATTACAATATTATGCGGAGGTCTTCATCAAGCAGTGGATACATTATGGCTGATAATAATTTAAATGATCTGAACACAATGATAATCCTTTCCCAGTGCACTCGTGTCGCTAAAGTTCTCTGCGGTGAGTATGCCGCCTGTAAAAACAGCAACGATATGTCCCAAGATTCAGCGGTGGACAGGACCCACCCTGCAACTTGCATACATCTTGGAAAGGGAAAGGGTTAACAGCCCTCTGTCAATCCACTAGTGGCCAAAGGCCTCCTCATGTCGTGCAGGTCATTGGGGTTGTTTGGTCATATTTCACTAAGGTGGTCAGTGTGATTTGGTGAGGTCAGGTTGAGATAACAACCGAGGTCGTCGAGTTGAGAGCTGAGTGCTCAAACTATCGCACAGTGATCATATTGTTAGCCATAAGTACACACAAAGTAAGTTTATCTACATTTTTAAAATTAAAAATATGACATGTGACTTTAATTACTAGGTGTCGTGTACATCATGAGAGCACGAGTGCATACAACAAAAGCATAAATGTTTGATCAGTTCGCTCATGGATACATGAAGTAAAAGCATACCTTAATCCAAGGATGGTGTATGGCCTCTTCAACATTCATTCTTTCTCTATTAAAGAAAATCATACATTACCGCGCACACTTAACCTATACAGAACCTCATTATTATAATTGTATATTCCAAAAAGGTGGCAGCTGGCCCTAATAATTGTTATTAAATTGTGGAAGGCTGATCAGTGGTTGGCCGCTCTTAAGCTTGCATGTTACCTTTGCTCTTCTAAATTACCATCTAGACTTTGATGTCGCATCCACTGACGGACTTGCCACGCTGTTGTGATATTGCTGCGTGCCCTTTCAACATGGTTTGATCCCCACTGTGGCACAGCCTCTCCTTTCGCACCTTCATTTGCCAGCCATTAATTTGGCATTGTCTGACGGTTACACCTCCCTCTCTGGTCACAACAGCAGATGCCTAGCATCTTAGAAGTCACTTGGCAGATTTACAATGTTTATTTCACTTGCTCACCAGGCAGCAATGAGAAAATTCTAGATTTAAAGCTTTCGTGACTGCTAGGATCCATACTCTTTGGTTCTATTGGGTAAAGTCACGTAGGTGAAAATAAAATAACAAAAAATCACGACGTTTCGGCCACAACACAAGCGGCCTTCATCAATGATGAAAGCCGCTTGTCGTGATTTTTTGTTATTTTATTATGTGAAAGGAGATAATGTTAAATGCAAAAAACATTGCATAGAAAATAAAGAAAATATAATGCGCCTTTAATAGTTTTGGTGACTGCACAATAGCTGTTTAATTTAACACCAGAGTTAATAGTAACATTCCTTGAGAGTATTACTCATTCATTATCAAGTAATTATACGTTGATTAATAATTGAAAACACATCAGTTGTCTATGCAACGCATGTGCTAAACGTCTAAGACTATTCCAAATTTCAACAATTAAATCATTAAAAGATCGGTCGTGTCACACGACTGTGATTATAATCACACGACTAATCTTTTAATGATTTAATTATCTCCAATTGGATGTAAATGAATAATTACATAACTGAAGCATTTAGTGACTTTTTGAATTATTAGCATTAAAAACATTAATTCCAACATTTTCCACAATAAAACCTAAAATGTGAGTTTAACTTTTACAAGCCCTGTATAATATTTAACAAATGTATTTGTTCAGGGACAAATTCTTAATATCCACATATATAACAAACATAATGTTTCACTCTTATGGGTATATACATATGGGTATGTGTATGTGAAGGGAGCGGTAGTGTAGCGGTTAGTGTGCTGCGCTACAAACCCGGGAACCCGAGTTCGATTCCTGCTCATGACCAACACCAAGTGACGATTATCTGAACCGGTCTTGGGCCTCCACTAGGTCGACTCAGCCTCAAATGAGTACCTGGTACGCCACTGGTGAGAAAAAGGTGGCCGGCGTGGTGCTGGCCACCCACCCCCTCGTGTGCTATGCCAGCCTTCATAGGTGATGCTTGCTAACAGCACTTGCCCCAACAGTCTATTAAGGCTATACGGTGGACCTTTGTCTGTGTACCAACTATGCTTCCCACCAACCAGCAAGTATGGACAGAATGTGTACGAACAACCATGAGTCTCAGTCCTTACTTGGGGCTTTTTAAAAGCAGTCTTTGAATGAAATTTTTGGCAAGAGCGCTGGTTTGCTTGAAATACTCCTCGTCAAACTTGTATTCCACGGCTGAGATGTTGCTCAGGGTCTCCTCCTTGGTGTCACCCAGGAATGGGGAGGCCCCACTCAGCCTGCGTGGATGAAAGGGAGAAACGATGCAGGTATGGGGGTGAAGGTGTGGGAGGGTGAACACGAGGACAGGGTCACACGAGGAGGGGGTTGGGTCACATGAGATAAGTCACACCAGGACATCAGAGGGTGTCTGTTACCAGCCCGAGATGAACCCTGACGATATGGTTTATACTGTCTAGGGTCTGCAATCTTAATGTGATCTTGAAGCCTCCCTGATGTGCAATGACTGGACAAATTCACCAAACCTCTTGCTGGCAAAGTCGTAGGTTTCATTGGAATGTTATATACTAACTTTAAAAAAACATGTATGCAAATCACCCTACCACTAACCAATCCACACTCTTAAGTTTCTCTGGATTTGCAAACGAAAGAAAAAAGTCATGAATTCACTTTGAGGCTTGAGCGAACGCGTTTAACCAAGTGTACTTAGAACAGTACTGTAATGTTCTCATTGATTAATGTAAATGTACTCCTATACTCGAATCTATGGCATGTCACTTCGACGTCAGTCGAGAAAAATCTACATTCTGATGACAAGGTTCAGTCCTCCACACCGCAACCACTGTTGATAAAACGCGCACGCTAAGCTAAAACATATCCATGCTCTGATGCATCTATGCAGAAAAAAAACACGATACCGAAGACAACATAAATATTGTACAAAATATGCAAAGTAGTCCTATGACCAAATCATCCAGAATGCGGCAAATCCCATCAGACCTCGGAATTTAAAACAGAGGTGAGCCCGGCGAGCTCTTGGATGGGTGACCAACATGTTGACGGACAGGCGTAGTAGGTGCTGTGAGCCGTAGAGGACAGTGCAGCAAACTCCAATGTCGTCCTGCACTCCATGCCACCTTTACCAACCCCGTATTGGCCGGCGTGGTGAAGTATGGTGCGATAACCCTCACAACCCTCGCAGCCTGCACGGCGTGGAGACATCGCCACATCCAGCAGCGGATTGACAAACGGGCTGTGCCTGTGCAACAGCAGCTCGCTTGAAATAATATGGAATCGCTGCCAGTGTGTTTTTCTCCTCATTTTGTTTTACTGGTAACGCAATATGGAAAACTAAGCGACAGTTTATTCCAGATCGAGGACTTTCCAGGTTTAGTCCTGTTCAGTACGCCACCATTGTGTCTCGGGCTGTCATGCCATAGCTGCACCGCCTACCAAGTGAGACAACAAACTCGGAAGATATACGAATAAACACACATCAATCATTGGAAAGATTTGATAAACCATTTCAGGTCTTAATTGATTGTTCACGCTTACAGTGGCTTTCAGACAGCATACATTATAAAAAAAATTCGTCTCCCCCCTCCTCTTTTCAGAATATAGATGGACTAGTCCTAAATAAACTGCCAAATCGTTGCGCGTGGCGCTAACGTTTTTTTATAAATAAATAAATGCGCCGTTTAAAAATAAATTTATGCAAATCAACACACCTGAAGACGACCGTTTGAGTTATGGTCGAAACGTCGTGAGAATTTTTTTATTGTTTTATATATATTTTATTATTTTGTTGTTTCCCTTCAACGTGACTTTACCGAAAAAACTAAGAATATGAATTACTGCAGTCACGAAAGCTTTAAATCAAAACACATCACATTGTTGAAACGTTCTTCACCGCACCGAATGTACTGGACATCTGTGAAAAAGAGATTGATAGCTCGTCGGATTCCTCCAGTATACATAAATATTCAGATTCTTTGTCAAAAAGGCATTCATAAACACGTGATAAAATCTAATAATCTAAAATAATACTGTGAAGAGTCACAGTTTACCCTATATACTTACAGAATGTATGTCATTACTCCAATGCTCCTGAAAAAAAAGTACGTTTGGTCGGTTATAAAATTGACAAACGCAATAGAACACAATACTGTACAGTAAACACGATTTGGATTCACATTGCAGATGTTGTGCGTATTTTTATAATTAATATGATATGCCCAGGAAAGCGGCACTGAATCTCAAGAATGTTCAGGATGGTACTATTTGCAATAGTATAATTACTGAGAAATTTAAGGTATTTTTTACTGGTAGGAACGAAGTTGTAAACTGAGTGTACCAGCCTGCAATAGATTAATGTGTCCGTCCGTCCGTCCCCTTTCAATACTTTAACGAAGTGAAATCTCGTGCTGTTGGGTGTAAAATCAGCAATAGACAGCGCAGAGACTTGTCCTACCAGCCCACCCTGCAGGGACCTGTTTAATATTGGGATTTTGGGATGTTACATTTAACGTGTTTTTAGCTTTTTAACATGTATGCAAGTGTATAACTATTACAATTTTTTTTAACAAGTAGAACTTTGTACATCGTAACCCACCACATATCAGCTTGCACTCCGAGAGGCTCGTAGTTGACAATCTCTGGTGCTGTAACAGACAAAGATCCCCATTATAGCCTTAACAGACTGCTGGGGCAAGTGCTGTTACCAGACTTTGCTGGTTTTTCCTGAATTTCTCTGTTGCGCGTAGTCACTTTAAGATGTTCCTTGTTCATGTTTTTGTTTGTTGCGGTTGCACCCGAGTCAAGAGCCGCATGGCTCACAGGGCTATACCTAATAAATCAAACTGAAACCAAGCACCTATGAAGGGCGGAATGGCACACAAAGGGGTGGGAGGCATGCACCACGCCCGACCGCCTTTGTTTTCCTAGTGGCCATGTTTACACATAGGTTGATTGATGTTTCTTGTTCATGTTTTTGTTTGTTGCGGTTGCACCTGATTCAAGAGCCGAATGGCTCACAGGGCTATACCAAATAAATGAAACTGAAACTGAAAACTGTATTAGATGCATACGAAACGTCTCTGCTGCTCTGGTATACCTCATCTGAGCGCTGGTGAATTATGTCCAGGGAATGGATTTTTGGTAAGGACCACATACATTTGGATTTTTTGTCAAAGTGTCTCCATCATGAAACATGCACAGGTCATGCTCATTTCTATCGATGGCCTTCAGGCAGTGGTGGAGTTTCCAAGTTATTCTGGCATGAGCCAAAGTAGTTTGGGGCTGTTTTTGCTGTTGTTTTGCTGCCTTATCCAAGCTTGAGAATTAGTGTACTTATGCAATTTGAACTTATATCCTTTATCTAATTCATTTATTTTTAGTGATTTGCTTACCTTTCCGAAACTTTGCACTGCTATCGTTGTATGTAATGTTTTTTGTTGCAACTCTCTGACCTGGATATCTGTGAAAAAGAGCTTCATAGCTCATCGAGTTTATTCAGGATAAATAAAGATTCTGATTCCGAGATTATAATGGACAGTGTTAATTTGCCACAGAATGGTATTAATTTTTATCTATTCTGGATGGGACTGTGGGCTGGGTGAGCCGCTGACATTAAAAGTGAACCTGCAATATGGCGATAGTGAGATAAGCCTACAGCAATATCAGAGTAGCACTGCATGTATGAGTATTTCTTAAAGCGTTTTGCAAACAAGGCACAAAAACAAGAATATCTAATGTCTGTCTTGAGTTACGTTCCTGTATACAGGTATCCCTCGATTCACGAAAGGGATGCGTTCCTCAAAAAACACGCTTGTAAAACAAAATTCTGTACATCGAAGTGGCTTTTCCCATTAATTGAATACGAAAAATCAGGGATGTGTATAGGACAGCCATTACAACTACCCTTAACCTACAAAAAATACACCTATATCACTTTTCACAATGCAAAAATAATAAGAATAATAGTTAACTGAAACAAAAGAACATTGACCTTTTCAGCGACCTCGCCAAAAGATCTGCATGTTGGAACGACTGTAAAGGTGATACGGCGGCATTACTGTCGCACTGCAAGGATGCCGTGACGCCGTCGTGGATGGATGACGCAGCCTCCCGGGTGGTTCGTTTGATCTCCTTGTTCGCGGGGCCGTGTGAAATTTCGTTCACGTGGAAATTCGATTTCGTAAATTGAAGAGCGTCCAGAATTTGTCAATTGCATTAACGTGACATTTCGTAAAACTGAACATTCGTAAATCTACTTGTATTTCAATGTTGCCATATATGATAATTTCACGCTCATTGATGTGACTATCTCACAAATAATGTGTGACTTTGTGTTTTCTGTATCATGGTTCTGAAAATCTTAGAATTATGCTTCGTGCTGATATTGGACTTATACTCTATAGTAAACGTTGCCTGTGAGAAGTAAATTGTATTTATATGATTTGTATTTAAGACAACATCTGAAAAAACTGAATGTGTGCAAAGTCACAACTGAAGTTAGGCTTCTAAGATACTGCATTTATGATTCTGAACAAGTTAAAATCGTGTGTTCATTGACTTTGCAGTACCTTTTTTTCCACTCTACTTTAAGTCAGCATTGCATTGGATATGTTTTAGTCATTTTTTTATTCCGGTTAATACTATTAAATTATATTTCCAGGGTTTTGTTTTTCTTACTTAGGTGCTGCTTTAGAGAATAAATGGGGTTTATCCACAATTGTAATATTTTATTGGCTAAAGGTGTCATATCTGAATCTCTGGATGCACACCTCCGATCCCCCGCAGGATTAGCACAGCTGGCTACGTATGCTGCGAAAGAAGTTCAACATACATACATACAAGGGGCAGTATATGCATGGCATAGTTGTGCTTCATTTCAGCACTTTGAAATTCTGTAACATTCAGAGCCATGTAAATCCTTAAGACCCTTACCTACAAATTCAGGTGTCCCGAAAATATGTCTAAACTCCACACCGTCCACAATGCTTTGCGCCAGTCCGAAGTCAATGATCTTGACATGAGCTTTAGGTGCACGGTTTTCCAGCAGCATTATGTTCTCAGGCTTAACACAGGACACAAGGAGCACACGGTCCTGTAATGAATACTATTTCAAAAGCACACCTACTTATACTTAAAATCAATCTACTCATCACAGTGTTATACAGCGTAAGGTAATATACATGCTTGATGTCCATACAATTATTGCATTTTTTAAGGCCCATGTGCAGGGCTATAAGGCTCACAAGACTAGTTTTTTTCTTCTTCTTCAAAAGGGTCATTAACTTCATAGCATAACTAAATCATGGCGATGTTTTCTTAATACACTGGACAAATGAGTTTGTAATGCATTTTTAAAAGTGATATGGTTTTACATCAAGTAGAGTCATGTAATAGGGTTAATGTATGGGAATTGCTGAGAAGAGATCTGTATATATATTTTCTCATGATTTAGGGGCCGTCCATAAATGACGTCACGCGATTTTGGACGATTTTTGACCCCCCCCCCCTTCGTCACACGGCGTCACAAAAAGTCAGACCCCCCCCTCAAATATGACGTCACAAAGCTCTGCCCCCCCCCCCCCCAAAAGAAAACATGCTTCAAATCGCTTTAAACTATTGTCATTGTAGTGCGTATTTAATGTGGTGCTGCACTCTGATGTTGTAGGAGAAAACATTTACTAAAAAGTCTATTTCATTAAGTAGAACGTGTTGTCTATATTTATTTAAAGTTGCGCATTTTGATGTGACGTCACATTTCTCAACCCCCCCCCATCGTCACAGATCGTCACAAATGTCTGACCCCCCCCCCCCAGGTGCGTGACGTCATTTATGGACGGCGCCTTAACTAAACTGCATCATACATCTTTACACTATTGTTTCACTATTTAATCGACTCCAGAAGAATGATTGGCTGAGTCAAACTCCAAATATACAGGCATCAGGCTCGGGATCGAACCCACAACCTCCTGTATAGCAGGCAAGGTAGATAACATCTCGCAACCGTGACACCTTAAACTTGATTAACAGAATTTGTAACATGGGGTAGACTGGTGGCGCAATGGTTTGCATCACGTGGCTGTACTGTGAGACCAGCCACGTGAGTTCAGTTCCCGGCCAAGGCAAACCCCCCCCCCGGCTCCCAGCACGGTGATGCCTTCATCCAGCAATGCATTGGCAAAAGGCAATAAGTTACTGCTATTTTAATGTCCTATTTAATAGAAAACTGATAATAACGTAAACATATGATACGTTTACGTCTAAAAATGTCTTTGCAAAGACCAAGATTTTGTGGAATATGCGGTGAACAAGGAAGCCTGGTTTACATATCCGGGTGTATTGCAGTTCCCTCGCTTTGCAAAGAGATTCGGTAATAGCGAGATATGTACAGTTACACAACACCTCCCATACACCCAGTCGTTTAATAGACTGTCACAATCTGGGTTCAACTAAATAATAAATACGCCTTGTTGTACAGGTTTATTTGCTCTGTTAGCCTAAATGTAACATGAGCACACCGCTTGAATTTTGCATAAATAACCGATTAACACAAGCATGATTCCACGTATATATCATAAGTGTAAGAATCAATTTTACTCGATTAATCGATACATCCTTGCATGCCAAGTAAAAATGGGCGAATGTACTTGACTGAGATGCATTTCCCGTGCGTTTCTCTCACCTTGAGATCAAAGTGGGCTATGCGCCTGCAGTGCAGGTAACTCACACCGTCCAGAATTTGCTTCAGGAACTCTGTGGCTTCATCCTCTGACAGCGACTCCTTGTGAGCTAGGAAATCAAACAGCTCCCCGCCAGATACCCTGCAAGGCATTCAGGACATGCGCAGCTCAGCGTGAGAAAAACAAAGCGGCCCGTTGTTGTGACCCACAACGAATCCTACCTGTGGCCCCCTTTTCTTTACTCCTCATCGGAGTACACATGGATCGGTGCAGTCAGACAACATAACTGATTTGGGCATTGTGAGAATGTTTGACTTGCTCATGGCAAGATACGCATTTAATCATTGGGACACATGAGAAAGCCAATGCATAACACATGTATTACATGACACAAGCAGCGAGTATATGGCTTTAGTCGGTCTTATGCAACACTGCAGGGGGTACTTGTTATGGGAATCAATTCGAAGTTTTCAGGAAATTAAAACTGTGATAAAACACCCGACGGTCTAAAAAAATTGCTAATTAAAAAAAAAGTATTCCAATGCGACTGTTATATGCTAAATCTTAAAAATGTTCCGTACAATCCATAAACTCCCACTAAATGTTTTTGATGAAATATCGTTTCCCTCCCGCGGAAAGAAAACAACTCCTGGGTTTTTTTGACTTGCTACTTATTTTGTAAGAATGCTGAAGCAGCAAGAATCAGGTTCTAGTAACACTAAATCACACTAAAATCAGATGGCTGCAGCGATAATCTAATTGCAAACTTGACTATTCTGCTCTTTGTTTACCCCATTCCCCACCAGTGAACTGGCCATGACTGCCAATAACACGACATATGTTAGTCTTCAAATGCCTGTTACGTACAACATTTAAAAATAAAACATTGCAATGCAAATGTTGAAATGAATGATAGCATCACGGGCATGACTGTTAATTATTTGCATAATAAATTAGAAGCATTATTTACATCATGAAATAAGAATGTAATGCCTAAACAAAAGGTTGTAGTTGAGAGTGGTTGGAGTTTTAATCTCAGACCGTTGAATGAATGGATAATGATTTTGAAAACATCTTATTTGTATTGTCACTAATTCAACCAGTTCTAGGTAGAGTCAAGATGAACATGTTCTGTAAAGCTTACAATACATAACCAAAGCACATTTGTGAAAGCCTTTGTGCTATGAGAATGGCACAAACACTAAATTAACTTATTTTATTGGTTTATTATGGTTTTATGTGTCCTTACATTTGTCATAAGTAGTCATCCATCCGCATGCCCATCCAACTGGTGGATGTCAACTCGACACCTTTCATTATTCCCTTGCCTACGGTGCTGACCATTCAGATGATTTCCCCCAATTAGCCAATTTATATATTAATTTGCAAGCAATTGCATTCAAACTATCAACACATTTTCCATTCATAGATTTCATATTTATTCAAGCAATATATTTTAAGATATGTTATCAATAAAAAAAATGAAACGTCATGGCTGTTTTACACAACTGCCTTTAACGAAGTCACCCAAAAATGTGCTCGACCTTGGCAGGTCTCAGCTCAGCCAAAATCGAGGCTGGTGAGCACTTGGATGAGTGACTAGCAGGGCTTCTCGGGTGTTGTCGGTGTGGGGCTGCAACCTCATCGTATTCCATGGGTTTTCTCCACATGGGAGTCAAGCACTCATTCAGAAATCAGAATAATTATTTATCCTGGAGGAATCCAATGAGCTATGAAGCTCTTTCTCACTGGCCAACGATCCCAATGGCAGGACCCCTCCTGAAAGAGACTTGAGAGTCAGGAAGGCTTCCATTGGGTTCATAATTGGCATCGTTATTATAATTGAGTGCACGTGCATCATCAGCTGTCTTTGATTGACTGACATGAGATGATACAGGCCAAGGCCATATGACCTCATGTCAGTCACAGCTGCCACAAACACTTTCACATTCTGCTTGATAATGGTGACTACCATTGCCAACGAAAACTGTACATTCTCCATCATATTTTACTTTACATAGTGCAATAAAAGAAACATTGATTTATGAATAATCCAGTTTGCATTTGAGCTTACATCTATACGACGGGTGGAACAACGCGTGAATTCATCGATGCTTAAGCTCACAACGCATGCATTAAATCACTTGTATAACAATCGATGGTGGAATGGGTTCGTGTGACCCACGCAGCGAAGAGAGGCTGCTACAATCACCACAGTGTTTACAAGCAGAACCGACTCCTCAATAAAATCACGAGTTCGTTCAATCGCTCACGGGTGTGGAACCGTGACACCCATACAAGAGACCATTCCTGACCCGAATGATTTCTATCAGCTTGTATTGTTTTTCCATAAGGCTGGGGTGGACAGCCGGATAGGTGGTTGGGTTGTGGGCCAATTGCATGAGAATCATCGCAATGGGCGGCGTGAGGTCTGCACCACAGGAACTCCCAGATTGGGAAATTTGGACACAGTTACAGGGGCATTTTTTAAAATGTTATTCAGAAAAAAAATATTTCACGAAAATATGTTCTTTTTACGGCTTTACTGTGGCAAGAAGGGTTTCTTTTAGGCTCTTCTGTCCATTGGCTTTGACCCCTGTTTATCCAAACATATCTGGCAGCCCTGGGGCTACAAAACACGCTCAAAGACTCCCTGCTGGTTCATGAGCATTTGGGGGGGGATGCTTACACCGAATACAATGGGCAATTTCACAGTTTCAACCAAATTTCTAAAATAATGACACATTATTGCCCACCGCGTATCTCTTGAATGCACACGGATAAGATAGCAATGCCCTCAAACCAATATTAACGCAATTAATTATTTACTTTGCAATAGGTTTTCAATTCAACACGGCTAGAAAAAAACAGTGAATCCCTGCCAAATGTATATTACATTTTTTACGATTGAAAGAACAATCTTATGCTGAACTGCAATAATAAGCCAATCATAACATTGCCAAGCAGTAAAAACAAATCCTCCACCCAAGGAAAACAATGCATATGCCAAACCTCCTCTCCATCCAGGCAGAGGCTTCCCAAGGAAGCCATCTAGAAAAATCTTGTTGTAAACAATTTCCTTAAACTACGGCTTTTTTTCTCCCAACGATGAGCCAATCATAGTCGTTTTTCCTATTATGTAAGATTGTCTTAAATATGCATAATTTATTCTTTAAAGCCCAATGCACTTAAAAATGATAAACTATTTTAATTTTACCAGGTAAGGCTCTTTTCCAGAAGCGACCCGGCAACAAATGTCAACGAAGTGGCTTGTCACGTGGACATTTATAGCACCCAAATAGTCTAAATTCATGTTGCTAAATTTGGAGGGAAAAAAAACGGAGGACCTGGAGAAAAATCCACGCGACCACGGGTGGAGAGACATGCAAACCCCAAATATACAGGCATGAGGTTCGGGATTGAACCCACGGTCCAAGTCAAACAACTTGAACTGTTTAACCTGGTCAAGACAGGTAGCATTCTTGAGGGGGGATAGAGTTGCAGAAAGGACAATGTATGGATAAAGGGAGTTGATCAGATCACATGAAATGATCCCTGTGTTTCGATGCCACTCCGTGTCACATCATACGTCCAGTAACTCAGGTCCAAAATAAAATCTGCACTTTATTAATACGATTAATAATAATAATTTGGTGTTAATATTTGACGCGGAATTTTTTTATGTTCTCTATAAATTTGTTGGTGCAAAAAATAATAACAATACAATCATAAAAATGAACAAAGATGAGACGAAAAAATATTAACAATATATCTGTATATAATAATTAAAAAAATCATTTTCGGATACACACGATACATGAATAAATTGCAAAGCTTCATTACACCAAGTTATAACTCGGCTCTTCTCTTTTGCTGATGCAGTAAGAATCACTCATCTGAACTCGCACTTTCAATTAGCACGGTTGGCTACGTACGGTGTGAAAGACGTTCAACATCCATACATACATGATCTGACACGTACCACACACCCCTCGGACCAGAGGTCTCATGAGACCCGTTTATCTCATCATACTGTGATATTAAATCAGAAGGTACATCCCCATTTGCGCATTCTTACTTTTTTTAGCAGGCAAATACGACTGTATTCAATAAATATAATGTTAAATAAACTCCCCCTTTGTTCATCCCATGTTATGTAAATCACAGGACTTGTTTGACCTTACTTCACCACACTGGTTACATCTTGATGAAGAAAGTCAGGGGTGGCCAGGACCAGTTCAGATATCACTTGCCAATGATTGTGGCTGTCGCAGCTGTAGCCGGGAATCAAAGTCATATTGTTGAGTTCATATCACTGTGCGATACCCACTGCACCACTGCTGCCCTTTCTTTCAATCGTCCTTAATGGGTTATGCATGGAAACACTCGTTTCATGTTGTTACAATGGACTTTAATATAAAACCTATTGTAAGGCAAATTATTTATCGTCGATAAATTGTCGTCTATCATTGTGTATTCAAACGATAGAACATTGTGCTGTATTATTGCATTGTTATTTTAAGAATAAACTTGAAATCGCCTGCGAAATATCATGAAGTAAAACCACCCCAAAGACCGCTACACCAGCAGACTGCCTTCCCATGTTCCCACTGGTTAGAGATGACGATAGCGAGCCAACCAATGTAACGAACAACATAAAAGTCAAGTCAAGTTAATATATAAACATGCGTTTAGATTATTGAGATTATTTGCCTGCTATACATTTACACATGATAAGCCACTTTGTTGAGCTATCATTTGTGGGCAGGTCGTTACCGAAAAATAAGCTCATAGCTCAGGATCAGAATCAGAATATTTATTTATACTGGACGGAATCCGATGAGATATAAAGCTCTTTTTCACAGATGTCCAGTGGGGGCGGTTAAGAACGTTACAACAAGTAATACAAAAACACGATAACTCAGTGGCTTTACCTGATAAAATTAAAGAGTTTAGCTTAATTGGTATATTTTTGTGTGATTTGCTTACCTCTCCTATACTTTGCACTCCAATCATATTTTGGTATTGTTTATTGTTGTAGCGTTCTGGCCCGCTCCTACTGGAAAAGAGCATTGTAGCTCATCATGAATGAAAATTCTGATTCTGATATTTGATGAACAAGGTGAGAACTCAAGAGACCA